CCTTTCCTTTCCCTTTTTTCCCTGTATGTAATGAAGTATTTCAGTGATGAACTGGGCAAGGCTATAACTGCTGCTAGCCAGATATTATTTTAAACTAGATCTCATTACTTTCTTTAGAACATAAAATGAAGATATAGTCAGTATTCAGAGTGATTACTATGTTAAGTGGAAAACAAGTTAGAGAGTAAGTACATTAGATCCCATTCTAGTTCTACGATACTAAATACTTTTTATGACACTCACTATTCTGAAATTCCTTGTACTTCTTTCGTCCAGTTAGATTGTTCCTTGTCTCCAAGATGAACCACTTTAGATGGTGGAGCAGTTCTTCCCAGATAAAGCTTCTGTATGCCTGGAGGTTCTTCCAAGTAAAACCTTAAAAATTAATATAAAAATTATATTACCCCAAATTTGTGGTTTAATATAGAGTTTAGCGGTCTAAGTCTTCAAAGTAAAAAGGTTTCTACATGGTATAATAGCAAAGAAAAAAAGTCATCTTTTAAAAACTAATATAAATTCCCGAACAAGATCTTGTAAAATATTTCAATCCAAATTTAAAAACAAATTCTTCTTCTTTCTCTCTTAAGAAACTAAATACACAACAAAAATATAAAGATTAAAAAGTACTCTCAAATTCGATAAAGTATTTTTGCTACAAAAGTTTACAAGCCACTATACCTAGCTTGTATAGAGGAAATATGTGGGATGGAGGATCTACCTAAATGACACTAAGAGAAAATGACCAAGTAAATCCAGAATTCTACAAAATAATTGGCTTGCGTTCTTCAAAAAAAAAAAAAAAAAAAAAAAGGCAGGGAGGTAAGTTCAGCAGGTCCTAGGATATAAAATTAACATACAGAAATCAACCGTATTTCTATATACTAGTTGGGAAAACTGAAATTTACACTACACTACACTATTACACTATTTATAGTTGCTCCCAAGTAATTTAAATACTGAGGTATAAATCTAACAGAAAGTGTACAGGATCTGTATGCTGAAAAACAAAACACTGATGAATGGATTCACTGGGTCAGAAGACTTAACACAGTAAAGATGTCATATCTCCCCAAATTAGTTTATAGGTTTAATACAATTCCTATCAAAATCTCTCCATGATTTTTTATAGATATAGAACAACTTATTCTAAAATTTATATGGAAAGGCAAAAGACCAAAAAGCTAAAACAATGTTGAAAAATAAAAGTAAGGTGGAAGGAATAACCCTACCTGAGTTTAAGACTTATGACATCCTACAGTAACAAGACAGTGTGGTGCTGGCATAAAAACAGACAAACAGATCAATGGAACAGAATGAAGAACTCAGAAGTAGTAGACCCACACAAACATGATCAACTCAACTAACCTTTTTTCTTTCAAATACAGTTGACATTCAAGATTATTTTATATTAGTTTCAGGGGAATAGAACAGCTTAGTGATTAGACATTTTGTATAACTTACAAAGTGATCCCCCTGACAAGTCTAGTACCCACCTGGCACCATACATAGTTCTTACAATATAACTGACTATATTCCCTGTGCTGTACTTTCATCCCTGTGACTCTTCCATAACTATCAATTTGTACTTCTAAATCCCTTCACTCTTTTCACCCAGCGTCCCAACCTCCCCCTCATATGGACACCATCAGTTTGTTCTCTGAATCTATGAGTCTGTTTCTGTTTTGTTTGTTTGTTTATTCTGTTCTTAAGATTCTATATATTAGTGAAATCATATTGTGCTCAACTGTTTTTGACAAGGATGTAAAAGCAATCTTATGAAGAAAATAGCCTTTTCAACAAATGGTGCTGAAGCAATTGAATATTCACAGGCAAATGTATGAACCTTGATCTAAAACTCATATTTATACAAAAATTAATTCACAATAGATTATGGATTTAATTGTGAAAGGAGTAAAACTATAAAACGTTTTGAAATATAGGAGAAAACCTCAGGGACGTAGGGTTATGTGAAGAGTTCTTAGACCAAATGCATGATCTATAAAACAAAAAACTGATAAAATGTACTTCATCAAGACGGCAGGGAGACTGAATTCTGATGATTAAAAAAGAATCCTCACAATTTCATACAAAAAAGCAGATACCCACAAAGGAAAAATTCATACTGGCATTGAATTCTCATCAAGAAAATTACATGACAGAACATAATTAAGCTATGTTTGCACAGATCTGAGGAAAAATAACTGGGATTCTATAATTCTAAATCTATGTGGGAGGAAAACAAAAAAGATCATTTGATCATGTAATAACTCAGAAAACATAACATCCCCTCATTTTCTCGGGAAAAAAAAATTACTTTAGAAAATTCTAGACATGTGAAAATAACAAAGGAACAAGAAATCAGACCAAGTTTACACGAAATAAAGATGACAAAGAATAACTTGTCTAAATAATCACTAATAAAATGATTGTGAACTTGAATAAAATTTTAAAAATTGTTTTTAAAATAGAAAATAGTGTTTTAAAAAATTATTTAAAAGAAATCTTGGAGGGGCATGGTAAAGGTAAAGTTACACACAGGGTATCCCAAAACATGTATACACACTTTAACAGCTGAGAGCTCAATTGATGTTTCTTTCTTTTCAGCCACATTAAGCTTTGAACAAAAGACATTCATCCTAAAATGCTACTGGAAGTTTGAAAATGCAGTTGAAGTACAAACACTGACTTTGTAATTATTCAAAGAGTGTATACAATTTTGGGGGACACTTTAACACTTTAAAGTGTATACACACTTTAACAGCTGATAATTCATTTAATTTTCACTCCTTTTCAGGTTTAATTGATTTGAAATAATGGGTGAGCCAGAAACTAAGTTTTATGGGGATACATAAACAATAAAGTTTACGGTACAAAACCAGCAACAGTTGACGCACTGAAGGCACACAAATGGCAAACGACATGATTCTTGAATTTTGCGATTCCACTGCTTCGCATTATCAGCAGTGGATGCACCAGAACAGTCATCAGTGTGAAAACAGGCATTGACAAAAAAAATTTTCATTTCTGTGGATTCTTTTAAGTCTTAAAAATGAACTATATGTTAATAAACACTGAATTATAGTCATTCAAAGTATGTGCACATTTTTTGGGACACCCTATTCATTCTTGTCATCCAGAGAAATATATTTGGTAAATAATATAATGATAACTGGTAGAAAAGAATTAGGCTATAGACTTCCAAGCTATTAAAAGGAAAAGAAGGCAAAAGGGAAAAAATAATACATGCACCTAAAATATCTCAAGGGATGTGCAATAAACTGTCAATAGTGGTTGAACTTCAAGTGGTGTGATTAGAGGACTTTCATTTTTACTCTAGCATATAAATATATCAATAATTAGTTAAAAATATATCAGTAAAAGCATTAAGTAGCAAAGCAAATATAAATTTTAAAAAATTATAAATCAAATCTTACTTGGTTTCTCCATCTGATACACCAACAACTCTAGCTTCTTCAAGATGAGGCCAGTTAACAAAGACAGACTTCCCAAGCACTGATGAAGCTATATTTTCTATACTCTTAAAGTAAAAGCAGAAAAGTTTATTTATATTTCAGGTCCAGGAGAAAATTTTAAAGAGGCAATATTAATTAAAAACTGGCTTGTGTTTATAACTGTGTATTTAAAAATCTATAAATATTCCACATTAATAATTAAAACAGATATACCATTTGCTCACTCAAGCCAATAATTCCCCATAGTTCTTAGTTCTGCTGCTCTTCTCAACTTTACTCCAACTTAATTTTTGCATCCACTGAGGTTCAGTTACTTTTCTTTAAGTTGTACCTTAATTGCTAACTACTCTTTTTCTTTCTAGTTCATTCTCCAGAACTTCTGGGACTTTTTAGAGTTTTAATTTTTTTCCCTTCTTTTTAAAAAAAATTATTTTTCGCCCGGCCAGGCATGGCTCAGCGGTTTAGCATCAACCTAGGATCCAGGAGATTGATGTTTGATTCCCAGTCAGGGCACATGCCTGGGTTGCAGGCTCGATCCCCAGTTGGGGGCGTGCAGGAGGCAGCCAATGACTCTTTCATCACTAATGCTTCTATCTATCTATCTATCTATCTATCTATCTATCTATCTATCTATCTATCTATCTATCTATCATCTATCTATCTCCCTCTCCCATCCTCTCTGAAATCAATATTTAAAAAAAATTATTTTTCAACTGTTTTTGCCTACATGAGTTCTGTTCACCATTTAATTGAATATGAATCTGTAAAAGTTAACCAAATCTACCTTCCTCTCTGCCAACCTCTTCTTACCAGAGAGGCACATTATGACCAAACTTAAGTACTACTCTGTAGTATAAACATCAGGACACTAGGAAGTTTGCCTCCTACTCATTTTCTAAACAGGACTGGCAGTTATTAGTAGAGTAGCCCACTGATTCTAATCCTGAATGAAATTACTGGCTGAGAAAATAAGTTTCAGTAAAATCAAACAGGAAGAGTACTGACCCACAATGTATTACTGTCCACAACAACAGTCAACGTTAGCAGAAATAATGTTCAGAAAGAAACTTAAGTTCTTAGTTTTGCTGTTAACTAGCTGAATGAATGTCCCTTTTTCAATTTCCATTTGAGTTTTTTACTTAATGAGTTGAACTAGTTGTTTTACAAAATTCCATCCAGTTGTAAAATTCTATGATTCCATTATTTTCATGAGTATTTTGCTTATTTTTCTTATGGAAAAAGAAAAATACAACAGAAATGTCTAGAAAAGGGCTATTACTATTCATTGTTTCACATCGAATAGTCAGGTAGTATAAAACAGAATCTAAGAAATCTGATTTCTTTTCACTCTGTGGTTGATGTAATGAAATAAGAACACTAGCCTTAAAGCTAGGAAGCACAGGTCCAAATTTGGTATCTACCTGTTTTCAGCTATAGTGACAAATGTTGATGGTGGGAGTATAAAATAATAATAAAAATCTGCATATCCCACTGAGTCTCGGTTTTCTTTTATGACAAGAAATAATACCCACCTCGCAATGTCTGAGGATAAAATAATATACACAAAAGCTTTTGTACACTATAAAATGCTGTATAGATAGTCTATATGAAATAATATTTAAGCAAAAATTATAGCTTTAAAAAAACATTTGTATTACTATTGGTTAGACAACAACTTCGTAGTAGAAACTGAAGTTTAAGTACAAATTTTCACTCACTTTTTTCCGTTTATTAAGCTTAATCATTATTAGCAAATATTTCAACAATTACAGATGACTTTTTAAACCTTTTGGTGGTAGCTTTTAATTTTATTGATTATATTTAGGTATCATTTAATGTGAACATACAAAAGAATGACTATTCTGATACATAAAACAAGTTTCAACATTAGAACTAGGCTCCGTTAATGATCCTTTCCTCTTCTATCTACACATCTATTTCTAATTTCACTCTCCCAATCTTTCCTTTAGTTTTTGAAGAAAAAGCTGTCCTCCTTTCCCAGGTCAATGCTTCCACGTAAGCCCTAGATAAAACCCCGCATCACCCCCCTAGTCCCTTTACCTCCTGCCTCCTGTCCCCACTAGCCCTGCTTTCTTTTGTGTGTTTTTGCTTGATGAGCTGCTTCTTCTCTGCCTATGGTTTTGTTTCCAGCCTTCTTTTAAACGATCAACTTCCTAACCAAGGGCCGAATGCCTGCTGCCTCTACTTTCCATCTACGTGGTGCCAGGCTAATCTTTAGGAACTAGACTGCAGCCTCCACCAGTGTAGGGGCATGGGATTCTCAAAGGCCAACGACGATGCCTGAAAGACGAATTCAGACCTTGTCCTGAACTGTACGCAGCATCTACTCCATAGCTCCTGTGATACTACGTAACCTGGAAATCATTCTCCTACCTCTCTGAACACTGTCCTTTCACTATTCCTTTCCCACTCTTTATAACTGTGGGATGCTGAGACCTTGAATCCTCAGAGTTCTTTTGCTTCAGGGAAATGAGCCCCGAGGCCTCAGCCATCACCTCCCTGCTGATAACTTTATATACCTATCTCCCTCTAAGCTCTAGCTCCACGTATTAAATTGTGTATAAGCAGCCTTTCTCAATGGAGGTTTTTCATCTAAAGTACAGAATATTATAAACAATCTATTTTCTCGATTTTCCCAAGGATGGTACATAAGTAGAACCATTCTAAATGTACAGAAGATACATTAATCCATTATTTGCAAACGGATGACTTAGGGTATTAGGGCTTAAATCTCTGTGGAACCCTTGTTGAGAAAGGCTGGCCAGGCAGCTGTAGTTAAAAGTCCTAGCACCACTTGAAAATTCCATCATTAATCATCATTAGTTCCCTCAAACCAGGGACTCTCCCATTTTAACTTCTTTATTCTGGTAAACAGCAATTATTCTAGTTAATTAGCCTGGATCCTGAGAGTCATATTTAATATTTTCTTCCTCTTTTCAACTCCTACGTTTAAACAACTGATGAAATGTCAATTTTATTTGGTCTTATTCATCTAAGACTGGTGATTTTCAACCGGTGTGCCATAAGAATTCTTAAAACATGCAGTACTTGACCAACTAGTCAGGGGCGCTGGCCTCTTTTCCTTTCGATTGCCAAATAAGAGAACGACAACAGCCCACACAGCAATAGCCATCTGGTGTGAATGAGTCAAATGGTAACTATTTTTCTTGTCAGGCAGAAAACATTTTTGTGTGCTGCAGAATTTTAGTAGTAAGTTTGTGTGTGCTGTGAGATGCAAAGGTTGAAAACCGCTGCTCAAGACCTACGCCCACCTCCACAATTCACGCCCTCCTCGCCCAATGCCTCCACAGCCGCAAGCTCTGAACTTGCAGGCTCTTCCAATTTCTTCCATTTCTCTTTCGTGCAATTTAGTCTATTATACTGCCATCAAATTAATCTTTAAAAAAACACCAATTCCAAGATAACACTCATTAAAAAAAAAAGTCCAAACTCCTCAGCCCAGCATTCCAGGTCCTCCATAACCTGGCCTCAATCTGTTTTTAAAGCTTATCTTCCCCTACTTCCCAGCCCAAGTCCCCTGCTTCCGTCAGGTTTATCAATTCCTTCTCCTTGAATACATCATGCTTATTCTAGAAAAAGAAAAAGTATTAAGAAAAATTCCAGACACACAAAAAGGTTAAAAAGAATGAGATACTGTATCACACAGGAGCAGGAGGGCAGTTCCAGGGCCTCGCCGCCACTCCCTGCACGAGAACGCCGTCCCTCCTTCCTCCTTGGGGACAGCCTTCCCTCTGCATCCAGCTCCAGCTGCCCTCACCTACAGTGCACTCAGCTCACACAACTCCTCTCCCTTTCAAAGCTCCCGAAGCACTTTTTTCCTCATTATGTCGCAATTACTTGTGTAAATGTTTCTTTATTTTATCCTTATTGACTGTAAACTCTGGAGAAACTTATTGAACCTCTTTTGTAAACATGAGACAGTTAGGACAGCTTCATGCATAGTAAACATCGAATAAATACATAATAAAGAAAATACTTACAAGCTCATCGGATTCTGCATTCACTAAGATTTCCAACATCATGTTTTCTCCACGACTGCTCTGCTGGAATACTTGAACCCCGCTTTTCTTCAAAAAAAACTAAAAAATTCAAGGGAATTTAATTTTAATTCTTTTTCCTCAATTACTTAACATTCAATAAAGAAAAAAAATCTGAACTAAATAGCCACTGACTTTGTGTTTGATGTGTTTCAGAGTAGGAAATCCACAGAAATATAAAGCCTTCTGGTCAACCCTGGTTATTTTGTTCTTGCTTATGTCTACATGCCAAGCATCTAATGATATTATTTTATACCTGAAAAATAAATCATGGCATTTAACTTAAAATTAATACATTATAAGCAATCATCATAAATATTTCAGCATTACCATAAATATTTCAGCATTACCATAAATATTTTGCAAGAGCAATCCTTGCTTTTAAACAAGGCAATGACAATTCATTATTACAAACAAAGGAAATAAAAGAGCAGGACAACCCAGATTCTCTGTTATCAGTCCAGACACACCCAGGCCTGTAGATTACTGAATGGAAGTTTTCCCCATTCATTTAAAACAAAACAATATGAATACATATATATACCATTATATATAAACAAAACTATATATATAATTAATTTAGCATATTATAAATCTCCACATCCTCCGTGTTTCAAAACCCAGAATGGAAAATAAAGATTTTATAACGCCTATTCATCTTTCTCTTTGCTTTAAAAAAAGTCTTAACTGAGAGATGTTCACTTATCTGCAACTCAACTACCACCTGGATACATTATTTGCAGGGAAGAAGAGAGAAGAGAAAAAATAAGGAATATTTTAATGAGGAAGATAAAGAAGAAGTGGGTTCGAGGCAAGAAAATAGAAAAGCTCTTTTCTTTCTTTTTTTCTTCTTTCTAGTTGGGTGGCTGGGCAAAAGTTATAGCATGTCCAACAATGCTGGGACCAGACACTGGCAATGGAGATAAAAATTCACACATCCTTTTGAGGAACAACACAGGTATACACTCAGGAGGAAAATACTCCAAAATACAGTCTAACAGAAGATGGAGAGGAAGAGGCAGAATCTGACTAAAGCAGAGAACAATATAAACAATTGAGAGAGATGTTAAGGTCCTTGACAAGTTGGATGTAACTCATTAAAACTGACTATTTTCCAAATAGATATTCAAAAGCTTTTACTTTTGGTACAGGATAGACTCTACAGTTTTTGAAAATTACCAAATAACATTACCTTGCACGACATCGTTCTATGGCAGGGAACTTCTCTGGCCATGGAGAGGGGTAGGTGAACTCTGTGTCTCTATCATACCAGCACATTAAGCACTCACTATGTTGGTTTCTTTTCCTCTCTTCTTTTTTGAGGGAGTGGTTACATGTCTCCATGGCTTCCAACAATCGCTTCTGAATGTAAAGATTGAAGAGAAAGGTTAAAAGGATAAAAATTTTATAATTTCAACATACAAAATAAATCTTTTTACTCAGTATACAGAATTATTTGTGTTCTTGAAAAACAAGAACTTCAACTGAATTCTTTTCCATTTCATTACATGAAAAACTAATGTGCTATTTATTCGTTGTTTCAAAGGATGTGAATATTGCTAGAATATCGCTTGCCTCTGCAAATTCCTCTGAACCTATTACTCAACAGTAGCCACTGAAGTGCAGAAAAGAACAGCAGAGAATCAAATCTTAAATGTGAATTTATAATAATTATTATAATTTATCATAGTTCACACAGCATTAATCTCTTACTTTACAATTCTGCAATGGTACAGAAATGTTTATCTTTCCAAATTATCTTACATTTAACATAATGCCAATCAGAATCGCAATGCTTTAAAATATTTTTAAAGGATAAAATGATGTGAGTGTCCATATGGAAGAATGAATGTGTGAACTGCAAAAGTAACTGGGGATTTGCTTACCATATCCTATAATTTTTAATAAAGCTATTGTAATCAAAACATTTGAGTAATAATACCATAAGAGGACCAAAGACAGAAGAACAAAATAGAGAGTTAAAAAAAATAAAAATCTGTATCAAAAACATAGTATCCAAATACTGAAATAATGGTGTTGTAACTAGAATTCTAGCTGTAAAAATAAAAAAGCACATACATTTCCCAACTACATACCATATACAAAAAGCATCAGAGTAACAAAAAAATCAGAGTAATAAAACAATAAAAGTATTAAAAGAAAATCTAAGAGTATTGATAATTGGGAGTGACAAACTCTTAAGACAGGAAACAACCTTAACAGTTTTAAGGGAAAAGACATTTTTAAGTAAAAAACAAAAACAAAACACATGACAGAAGACAGCATACACAAATCAAGAAACAAATGCCACAGTTGGAAAAGGATATTCCTAATATACAGAAGTTGCTAAAAATAAAAAAAAGAAAATGAGGGAAAAAATATAAACAGAAAATATAGAACATGCAAAGGGCAAACACATAAAAATATACTTGAGCCTGGCTGGCATGGCTCAGCGACTGAGCATCAACCTAGGATTCAGGAGATCGCGGTTTGATTCCAGGTCAGAGCACATGCCCGGGTTTTGGGCTTGATCCCCAGTGGGGGGCATGGAGGAGGGAGCTGATCAATGACTCTCATCATTGATGTTTCTCTTTCTCTCCCTCTCCCTTCCTCTCTCTGAAATCAATAAAGACATATTTAAAATGTGTATGTGTGTGTGTATATACTCGAGATCAAAGATAGCAGCAGATTAGGTGAAAGCTACACTCACCTCCATGCAGTACCAAACTGGACTTACAACTAAAGTATAGAAAAATCATCCTGAATAACCAACTGAAGACAGGCTGAAGAGAAGCCTTATAACCAAGGACTTATAGAGGAGGCCACATCGAGACTAGTAGGAGGTACAGAGGCACAAGAGGGCTGGCTGGGCTCCCACAGGCAGCAACTGAAGTTCTGGAGGGATATCTCAGCTGCAGGGGGATCCCCTGAGAAGTCTGGGGTCTAAACCCTAAGTCAGGGCCTCCAGCCTGAAGCACCAGAACTGGGAAAGGTGCCCACATAACACCCAGCAGTGAAAAACAGCAGAGTTTCTGTCCACCAAAGAGATGGCTAGAAACGCAGACAACCTCTTAAAGGGTCAATGCACAATTTCATTCACAGCCACTCGCCCTGGGCTCCAACAGAGGAAGGGCAGAGAGAACTGGACCTGCTTGAGGAGAGCCTAAGGCTGGTGCTTCTGTTAGACAGCTGAGGTCAGCTGCCAGGATCCCTGGGCTGAGTCATTCAATAATAATGCACAAGCCATCTTTCTCAGGCAAAGCATGCCCTTCTGCAGCCTCAGCCTGAAAGGAAGCAATAGCTCCATCCATTGGAATCCCTCTCACCCCACCCTATGAAGCCTACTCCCTGCTAAGGACTACAGCCAGAGGCTCTTTAAGAGACTGACAGCCTGCAGGGAGAGGCAGATCTCTGGCTGCTTTGAGACTTTTGCTGACCTGCCCCTGGACCTGGTGCTAGTAAAAGCAGACCTTGGTGCACAGCTTGTGTTTTTTCTACATGCACCCAGGCCCAGCAGAGGGAGCCACAAGCTGTGGATCCCTGATAGCTCCAAACAGGGCCAATCACAGATATCATCTGACATTACCTACAAGGAAGCTCCCATAAGGCTGTCAGCCGATTTCTCAATCAAAACATTTCAGGCGAGAGGAGATTGGCATAATATATTCAAACTGATAAAAAGCAAGGACAACCAAGGCTACGTTACCCAGCAAGGTTTTATTTAAAATTGAAGGAGAAATAAAAAGCTTCCCAGACAAGAAAAAGCTAAAGGAGTTTGTTACCAAGAAGAAGGAGAAAGGAGAAAGAGGAGGAGGAGGAAGAACAAGAAATCAGAGGAACAGAGTTAAAATATAAAATGGCAATAAATAAGTACCTATCAATAATCACTTTAAACGTAAATGGCTTTAATGCTCCAATCAAAGGACATAAAAGAGCTGAGTGAATAAGAAAATAAGACCCATGCATATGTTGTCTTCAAGAGACCTATCTCAGAAGAAAAAAAAATACATGGAGACTAGAAGTAAAGAGATGGAAAAGAGTTCATGCAAATGGAAAGGAAAGAAAAAAAAGTTGGGGTAGCAACACTTATATGTGACAGAACAGACTTTAAAACCAAGGCTACAGAAAGATACAACGAAGGACACTACAAAATGGTTCAAGAAGAGCAATCCAACAAGAGTATATAACCCTTATAAGCATTTATGCACCCAACATAGGAGCAGCTAAATATGGAAAGCAAATCTTGAAGGACATAAAGGAAGAGACTGACAATACCAGAGTTACAGTAAGGGATTTTAACACCCCATGGACATCAATGGATAGATAATCCAGGCAGAAAATCAACAAGGAGACAGCGGCTTTAAATGACAAACTAGATCAGATGGATTTAATTGATATCTTCAGAGCATTCCATACCAAAACAGCAGCTATACATTTTTTTTAAGTGACATGGAACGTTTTCTAGGATAGGCCACCTGTTGGACACAAAACAAGTTTCTATAACTTCAAGAAGACTGAAATCATATCAAGCATCTTTTCTGACCATAATGCTATGAAACTTGAAATCAATCTCAAGAAGAAAACTGAAAAACAACAAAAAACCCAAAGATATTGAGGTTAAAAAGCATACTACTAAAGAATGAATGGGTTAATGAAATCAAGGAAGAAATTAAAGATTCCTTGAAACAAATGAAAATGAGAACAAAACAACCCAAAATCTATGGGACACAGGGAAAGGAGTCCTAAGAGGGGAATTCATAGCATTACAGGCCTATCTCAAGAAACATGAAAGCTCTCAAATAAATAATCTAACTTCACTTAAAGGAAGCGGAAAAAGAACAAAAAAGTCAAAAGTGAGAAGAAAGGAAATAATACCAATCAGAGCAGAAATGAACAAAATAGGGTCTAAAACACCAATAAAAAAGATCAATGAAACCAAGAGTTGATTCTTGTAAAAGATAAAGAAGATTGACAAATCTTTAACCAAAGTCATCAAGAAAAAGAGAGAGGACTCAAATAAATAAAATCACATATGAAACAGGAAAAGTAACAACTGACAACAAAGAAATACAAAGTATTATAGGAAAATATTACAAACAACTATATGCCAACAAATTGGAAAATGGGGACGAAATGGACCAACTCTTAGAAACATACAATCCTCCAGAATAAACAAGAAAGAATAAGAGAATCTGAATAGAAAGATTAAAGCTAGTGAAACTGAAGCAGTAATTACAAAAATGCCAGCACACATTCCACGATGGGAGCAGACTGAGTGGAAACTACACTGAAACTCTGAGGCCCAAACTGGATTACAAATAAAATACAGAAAAGCAATCCTGAACAATCAACTGCAACTGAAGACTGGCTGGAAAGCACCCTCATAACCAAGAACCTAAAGTGGAGACCACGTAGAGACTGTTGGGAAGTGTGGAGGCATGGGAATGTTGGCCGGGCTCCCACAGGCATCAGCTGAAGGTGTGGAGGGATAGCTCAGCTGTGGGGGGTTCCCACTGAGAACTCTGGGGTCTAAACACCAAGCTGGGCTTTCCAACCCAGAGCACCAGAACTCAGAAAGGTGCCCACATAACATCTGGTTGTGAAAAGAAGCGAGGATTTGTCTGCCAAGGAGAGATGGCCGGAAATGCAGGCATCCTCTTAATGGGACAATGCAGTTTCGTGTGCAGCCACACAAAAAAGAAAAAACAATTAAAAAACAGGAGAACAAAGGGAGCTGTGGGACGATATGAAACATAACAATATTCCCATCATAGGAGTACTAGAAGAGGTAGAAAGTAAGCAAGGGTTAGAGAACCTGTTTGAAGAAATAATGAAAGAAAACTTCCCTAACCTGGAGAAGGAAAAAGTCACATAAGTTCAGGAGGCACAGAGAGTGCCAAGCAAGAACCCAAAGAGGCCCATGGCCAGACACATCATAATTAAAATGCCAAAAATTCAAGACAAAGAGAATATTAAAGGCAACAAGAGAAAAGTAGTCTGTTACCTACAAAGGAGCTCCCATAAGGCTGTCAGCTGATTTCTCATCAGAAACTCTACAGGCAAGAAGGGAATGGCATGAAGTATTCAAGGTTATGCAAAACAAGGATCTGAAACCAAGACTACTCTATCCAGCAAGACTATCCTTCAAAATAGATGGTGAAATAAAGAGCTTTCCAGACAAAAAAAAAGGTAAAGGAGTTTATCACCACCAAACCAGCATTGCAGGAAATGTTAAAAGGACTGCTGTAATAAGAAGTTGAAATAGAGAGAATGAGAAACATAGGCATAAAGAAATAAAATGGCAATAGATAAGTACCTATCAATAATAATACAAATATAAATGGATTAAATGCTCCAATCAA